GCTGCTTGGGAGGCTGTGGCAGGAGGATCACTGCAGCCTGGAAGTTCAAGGTCTGGGTAGGCAACAAAGGAGACATTTTCTCAAAACAAACAAACAAACAAACAAACGAGTCCAAGCAAGAGTCTAAGCTTCAGCAGGAAAGCAGAGACCCTCTCAGAGCTGTCCTTTCTGGTACTCTTACTGCACTCCACGCCTCTTCAAACACCATACCTCTGGTTTCGTTTGAGGAGTCCCAGCTTTCTTGCCTTGCTCTGTTTTCTGAACACACAGAGCTTCCTTCTGCTTCAGGATCTTTCTACCTACTCTTCTCATATTTGCACACCGCTCACTTCTTTTTTCTAGCGTTACTGTTTTTTTGCTTGGTTTCTGTTTGGTCTTGTTTTGAGACAGGGCCTCACTCTGTAGCCTTGCTAGCCTGGAACTTGATGCATGGGCTGGACTAGCCTTGAGCTCCCACAGGTCTGCCTCCCTTCATCCACCGAGTGCTGGGAAGAAAGAAGTGCACCACCCTGCCCGGTTTATAGCACACTGCTTGATGTCATTCAGGTCCCTGCTCTAATGCCAGCCCCTTGGAGACTCTCCTGATTGTCTCATGTAAAACTGTACTTGATTTCTCCCAATCTCTTTATACACTGTGATCTTTTTTTTTTTTTTTTTTGGTTTACAAACCCTTCTTTATATCGTCTTCATAAATCATGCCAATTACCTGCCCGCCGTCCTTCCTCGTGCCCTGACATTTAGCTTTTCGTGTTCTCATTTTTACATATTATACTGTTTTGCACATGTTGGTACAGTGTAACATATAACTAGAAACAATTTTCACCCTCTCCTACCTCCCTCCAACTCCTCCTGTGTCCCCCTTCCCAACTTCATGACTTTTTTCTTTTGTTACACATATATATGTTGACAAGTATATTATTAGATACATTTAAAGGTACACACACACACACACACACACACACACACTTAACACATAACTGCATTGCCTAGTCACTTTAGTGTTCCTTGTATAGTGTTTTTCTTCCCAAGCCTCTGATACATAGCTTTGGAGAACATTCCAGATCCAAACCATTGCTATCAGTTTAAATATGCCTCGTTCCAGTTAAACACGGATGATCTGCTGTGCGCTGCTGCCTGGATGGATCCCAATGATACTAAGATCCCGAGGCCACGTTCTCCTGCAAGCATGCGCTTTAGAGGGGGAGGGGGCTGCTAGGCTGAGGCACGGGACCCCTGCAGCAAGTACCAGTCCAGAAATATATTTGGACGTATATCAGTTCGGAAGTGATAAGGGCAGGATGAGGAAGCAGAGGGGTACACTGTGATCTTTTAAAGAAAAAAAAATATCAGCTTAATTAAATGCCTTTCCAGTTACATGCTTATCACGTGTATCCCCCACTGGAATGCAAGCTCTTTGAGGGCACAGAATTTGCCTTGGACACCATCATGTTCCCATCTAGTGCAATACCTTGTAAAAGGAGACTGCTCTTGGTTTTCCGACCGCCCAGACCTGAATAACCACACAGAAACTTTATTAATTGCAACACTGCCTGGCCTATTAGCTCAGGCTTCTTATTAACTAACTCTTGCATCTTAAATTAACCCATTTCTCTTAATCTGTGTATTGGCATGAGGCTGTGGCTTACTGGTAAGGATCCGGCATTTGTCTCTTTTGGCAGCTACATGGCATCTCTTTGACTCTGCCTCTCTCTATATATATCTCTGCTCAGATTTCCCCGCCTGGCTTTGTTCTGCTAAGCCATTGGCTGAAACAGCTTTATTCATTAATCAATGGTAATAAAACATATTCACAGCATACAGAGGGGAATCCCACATCAGTACCTGACAAATGGTGAACTCTGGGTAGATTGTTACTGGATGTAAGCCTTCATTTCATTCTCAGGAGAAAAGATTAAACAGTGTTCCAATACTTCTTGTGTAGATGGTTTAACTGAGGTTCGGTTATGCCTAGCAACTTGCCCAGGAGCAAAGAGCTGTACAGAGCCAGGATTTTTCATGCCTTGCCTATTTGAAAGATCATTTATAACCCAAAGATGTTGTGCTGCTGTCTCCTAATTAAGCAGGATCTAAACACAGAGGACAGTAAAAGTCACAGGAGGAAGAGTGGCTGGTGGCTGTTTGGATGAGGTCAGTGGGATGGAGTCATTGGCAGGAGACAGGCCAGGCCTTGTGAACAAAGGCTATTTGGAGAGATGGGGAGGGAGTCAGGGAGGGAGGCACACCACCTCACCCCAGACCCTCATAGGCTAAAGACTGTCCGCTGTGTTCTTGGCCTTGGCTGAACAATCCTGTTTGACGTTTCCCTTCCCAGGACAGCATTGAGGAGAGCACATTTTCCAAAGAGCTTTAGTGGACTGTGGTTAACTGTAGTCTTGACCGCATTCTAACCAACTGGTCTAGCTTTGGACAAGTTCAGGCAAGTTCAGATGAACGTCACAATTCTCAGGCAGTGCTACTTGCCTGACTGCTGAGCAAGGAGGTCCAGGCCTCAGACAAGACTTTGCCTAGAGCATAGTTCCTTCTTAAAAAACAAAACAAAATGGGGGGTGGAGGGGTGGAGGAGGCAATGTGTGTTGTACGTGTGTATGAGTCAGAGTACATATGTCACGGTGATTGCAGAGACAGTACAACCGTAGGTGTCTTGCCTTCTATCCTGTTTGAGAGATGGTCTTTTGTTTATCACTTTACAGTTAGGCTAATGGCCCATGAGCTTCCCTGTAGATTCTTCCATCCACCTCCATATCACTGTAGGGTACTGGGATTGCGGAGGTGTGTTATTGTATTTGCCATTACATGGGTCTCATGCCCAAGTGCTTTATCCACTAAGCCATCTCCCCAGACTCTAAGGGCATCTTTTAAAGAGAGGATCAGTGATACTGTTGAACAAGGTAGGAGATGACCTGGGGACCAGATTTCAGGCTGCTGCGGAAGGGTGTCTGGAGGTGTTTCCTTCTGTCTCGAAGATGTGGATCCTGCCCAGGAAGCTACCTGGATGGGGAGGGCAGTAGCAACCAGAGGCAAGGAAGAAAAGGGGGAGGGTAGTTCCCAGGCAGTCGCTGGATTGAAACTGGTTGGAAGTGCCAGAGAAACCAAAGTCAGCCATGGGAAAGAGAAGAGGTAAAGGTGGACAGGCGACAGCCAGCGCTTGCAAAGATAAAGGGACAGGAAAATCTCGGGAGGGGTGGTTGTGTGCAGGAGGCCTCAGGGAGGCGAGGGGTCTGCAGGTCACCTCTTGGAAGGAGGCTGAGTCCTAGATGCATTTGTCATCTCCCCACATCTCTCACGAGGAGACGAAGGCGCCATCTGCTCAAATGTTCTGAGCATCTCCTCTCCAGCACCTGTCTGCTGAGCTGAATTCCCACCTCCGAAAGTGACATCACATTAACCTGGGACCTTGAAAAACAGAAACTGACTTGGATCCTAAGCAAAACAGACTGTTTTCCTTGAGTATCTAATTGCTAGAATAATGTTTGGAAAAATAAGAGGCAAATAGGACTGGAAAGATGGTTAAGTAGATAAGGACGTGTACTGCACTTGGAGAGGACCCAAGTTTGAACACCAACAGCACCCATGTCAGAGTTCACAACCACCTGCAACTCCAGCTCCGGAGGTATTCAGTGCCTCCGGCTCATGTTCTCACATGTACACACACACACACACACACACACACACACACACACACACACACACACACTCACTCACTCATACAGTTAATTAAAAATGAAAATGTTAAGTATGAAAAGAATTTGGCACTGTTTAGCTAGTACAGCTACCCCCTTAAGATCAAAAGCTAAAAATATATAACACAAATATTAATTAAAAGAGACTTCTATAACTCCAATGATACCACAGTATGACGGCCAACTCTTGCTTTATTTTTTTCCTGCTTTTGGTAAACTTGTCATTTCTGGAACTCCTTTCCTGCAATATCCTCTCTTGTGCCTGTGACATTGAGACTTAGTTACCAAGTTTACCTGGTGGACTCAACACTGCTTAGACTTGAGGCTGATTTGGTGTCTCCTAGGAGAATGGAATGGATGAAGGATAACTGTTTCAGTTAATGTTCACCCGTCCAGCTCTGAATTCCGAAATGTAGCATCCGGGCGGTACACTCTGCATGTTCTATGAGGGAAAGCATGCTTGAAAGAGAACCAGCTTGATTTACCGGACAGCGTTTGGAGCGGCTAGATGGATGATTTACCAGATTGCATTTGGAGCGGCTAGATGGATGACTGTGGATGACTTGCTAAATCTTTTTGTGTTTCTTTCCCTTCTGCTGTTCCCACAGTGAAGTTTGTGTTTGAATCCCTGAAGGTCTGGCATCCAGTATAGGACTTTTGCTCCTTGACTACGTGGTCCAGGGACTAGAGTATCAGCTTCACTAGTGTGTTAGGAAGCTCTTCCTTCAGCTTGAGCTTCCGGTCACTGGTTCACACCCTTCCTTAAGATTCTCGAACTGTGTGTGCTGAGGTTAAAGATGCAGAAATGTTTCTTAGGACCCTTTCCAGCGCCTCTAAGGATCTGGCTTCACCCTACAGCTATTAGTAGTGAAGGCTAGAACCCCTGACACACACACACACACACACACACACACTATGGAGAGGGCTGGGCTATAGAGGGTTCAGATTCTAGGTCTGGGGCTGAGGATGTGTGTAGAACAGTGGTATCGTGTATTCAGTACATATTGAAGTTCTGAGTCCAATCCTCAGCAATACACACATACACACACATGCATGTGTGTGCACACACACGTGTAACACCAAGTGGTGGTGGCTAATTTTTTTAATCCCAGCATTCAGGAGGCAGAGGCAAATGGATCTCTATGACTTCAAGGCTATCCTGGTCTACAGAGTGAGTTCCAGGACAGCCAAGGCTACACAGGGAAACCCTGTCTCAACAAAATTAAAAAGGCAAACAAACCACATAAAATCTGTTCAATATTATTATTTAATCTCTGTCCTGTAATATTCTTTGTAGAAAAAAGGGGGAGCATGTCTATTAGCCTCCTAGATCTAGTAGTACAGGAACCTTTTCTTTCGTCTTTGTCTTTTACAATACTGGTATTTTTGAAGAAAAAAAAAACATTCAGAACATCCCTCAGTAAGGAGACAAGTTACTTTAACTTTGCAACACTGAAGACCGAACTGAGGAGGCCCTTATCCAAGTCAGGTTTGCCTGTCTTTGAGGTGGGGCTACGTAGCCCTGGCTGCCTAGAACTTGCTGCATAGACCAAGCTGAGTCCAAACTCAATGTGTAGGTAAGGTTAGCCTTACCTGAATTCTATCTCTGGGTTTTATCACAGTGGATGCTACCTAATCTGAGATGGATTTCAGAAGGGACTGAGACTCCTTTGTTTGAGTTCTTCAGGCTAGTCTGGAATGAAATTCCTGCTTGAATCCAGGCCAGCTGACCTCCAAAGATGATTTGCTTAGTAAGTACTCACGCAGTGCTTGCTTAAAATGTAATTTTCAGATAAAATTTATATAATGGAGAACTCACCACTTCAACCCTTTTAGGGTATCCAACTCAGCGTCTTGGTATATCTGTAATGCCGTGTAAACGTCAGCATGGTCTAATTCTAAAACATTTCTACCATCCCCGCAGGAGACGCTACACCTCTCGGCTCCCTCTTTCCCATTGCCTGATGAGCACTAACCTATTAACAGACTTAGCATCTCTGGCTTTGTTCAGTCATGCAATGGAGTATACTGGACAGTGAAAAGGACCCGATTGCTCCTTCACACACATAGCAATACCTTGGATCTCAAAACACGTTGAGTGAAAGAATTCCGATATAAAAGGCTGCATGCCTGAAATTCTGCTTATATGAACTTCCAGAAAAACCCATGATATCAAAAGGACCTGAGGGTAAGGATGGCACAGTGGACCTTTGAAAAGAATCTGCTGTTTTAAAATTTGATTGTGGAGGTGTCAGCTGAATGATACGCATGTCTACAGAAATGTCTATCTACATCATATCTCAACAAAACTGTAAAAAGCCAAACATATGTGGCCCCAAGAGTTTAGTTCGTGAACATGCTCTTTTTTCAAGTTCTGCTTCAAATCTTTTTTTCCTAGGTACATCTCCCCTCCCTGTACTCAGACACTGTGGGGCACTTGCTGTATTCAAGCTGGTAATAGGAACTGAGGAATTCGCACCTTGGTTTGTCTATAGCAAGGGGAGTACCAGTGTGGTCCTAGAGATTCACGAGAGGAAGGGATTGAAACAAGTCCCAGAGAGTTTAGGTTCTGGTCACGTTGAGTTTCAAGTTTAAATCTAAGCTTTCAACCAGGTAACGCATTTACATGGTTTCTAAAGAAATTAAACAGTGAAAAATGTCCTCCCACTCAACTTACCGTCATCTCTGTTCTTATTCCATGTGGTACCACCACAATGTGGTAACTATCTTGTTTCTCCTCCTTTAAAACATAAACGCCACCACAATATTCTCATCATCAGCCCTCCTTTAGGGGGCATCATTTCCCTGGGGATATACAGTCTGACATTTTCTATTGGATGCACCTTAATTTATTCAAATCATTTCTTTTTGATAAGCATTAGTATCTATTTACCACAGCAAATAATCCATTTTGTGCTCTTTTATCAAGTTTTCTGGCTTTTTTTTTTAACATGGGCGAGTATATGTCACTACATACTGATGTTTTAAAAATCATTCCACACAAACATAACAACAAATTTCCTGTTTCTAAGTCTGTTCCCTTTGCTTTGAAAACCTCCACTCTTCCCTGTCAACCAGTGACCACTTCACAAAATTCAGCAGAAGAATTACTTTTTCTGAAGCCTTCTACAGTTCTGTCCCAACTCACCTTCAGAATCATCCAACATTCCACCGTCACCCACAAGACTGGGAGCTGTTCCAGAATGCTGGTTGGCAGATTTATCTATGAATTGCTTGGTATTTGGCACATAGTAGGCACCAATATTTGACACATAGTAGGCACCGATATTTGACACATAGTAGACAACAAGTACAACATTCAAAGAACTGGTGAGGGGCCTGGGTCCCCTCACTCAGAGTTGTGCAGCCACTTCTCTGTGTCAGCGCTGTCGGTGGCCTCTTGGGAATTTTGAGGGTTGCTGCCAGACAAAGATGGACTGTGGGTTTTCCCCTCCCCTCCTAATTCCTTCCTTCCTGCTCCACCTCTTTCCCCCCTTGGGATTCTGTCCGCAGCTGCCTGTGAAGGTCCTGGTGGATCCAGCTTGAACAACAGCCATTCCGGACTTTTGAAAACAGTAAAGATGGACCCTTTGCTCCATCTGTTTCTCCGTTTCTTTTCTTCTCTCCAACTAAAAAAGAACAATAGCTTGGTGGTCAAATGAGTATCCAAGACACCATCAAAAATCTTTTTCTGGTCACGAAGCCAAAGATTACTAAAACACTTGCCATTTCGGCTAATCACTGGCAAACCACTGAAGGGCACGGAAGGGCTGAATGTTTAAAAAGACATTGGCTTAAAGGACTGGGCCTGTAGTACAGGTTAACTGTCCCAGCATGTGTGAGAGTGAGACAGGAGGATCCTAAGCTCAGGGCCAGCCTGGGCTACAAACATGACCGTCTCAAAAAAAAAATTGAGCTAACATTAAACTATGTCAGTGATGTGCTTGAAGCTGGCAGTTACTAGGTTGTTTTCATGGCACAGTTCACTTCTGCTCCTTCCCCTGCTGGGTGTCACTACTGGGGCTTTGTCTCTATCTTCATAGAGGGGCTGGAGGTCCACAGTCCTCTCTCCTGGAAAATCTCCACCTAGGAGGTGCGGGCCCTTAAGTGACAGCAGAAACAGAAGGCTTTGAAGCCTTTCTCTGCACAGGTCAGAGATGCGAGTGAGAGCAGAGATGGCTCACCCAGGAGAGCCCTGCAGAGGGGCGGCTTGGCTCCCTGTGTGTGTTCTCTGGGACTGTGGTCCTCAAAATGACTTCTTGCTGGACTCATAAAAGAAATTTGAGTAACTGTGTTCCTGGTACTTTTAAAGGTCATATTTAAAGTGTTTCCTCGTAACTTTAAACGATGGCAAGCTTTATTATTTCTGTCATATTGTAAGTATTGGCATTTTAAAATGAGACTGTTACATCATTCCTTAAGTATATCCAGGGGAATCTACATATCATAACGCATCTCTCATCCATCAAAAAATACACGAACAAGCTTTTCTTTAAAAGAAACTTTATATCACTCTTCAGTCTCTGATCTTGTTTTTCCATTACACTTGTTTCTGAGAATTTTAATGTAATATTTTAGGCTGGAAAGTTTTTATTGATCCACCTATAATATTTCTCTATGATTTAAAAATATTTATAAAATGGAGTCTCAGTGTCTCTTAAGATTAAGGAAACCTGTCCTTTTGTTGTTGTTTCTTTCTTGAGACAAGGACTCTCGTCATAGCCCCAAGCTGGCCTGGAACTAATGCAGATCAGGTTGACCTTGAACTCACAGAGACCCACTCTTCTCTGTCTTCCAAGTGCTGGGATCCAGAGGCATGGGCTACTACAATAGCAGGTATAACAAGTACAATGTGTCTTAGTTAAATGTTAAGATCAAAGGCATGCCCCAGTGCACCCAGAAAGGAAACCTATCTTGGTTGTCTAATAAGTACAATGTTACTTCTCTGCTCAGAAAGGAAACTTACCTTGATTGTATAATGAGTCCAATGTTACTTTTCTGTCACTGTGGTAAATAACACCATGAAAAGCAACTTAAGGAAGAGAGCTTTTTGGGAATGGGTTACTTTGGCAATGGTGAGACAGACATGGTAACAAGCGCCAGAGCAGGAAGCTGAGAGATCACATCTTTAACCACACAGGAAGCAGAGTAAGCTGGAACTGGGATGAGGCTACAGAGTTTGCCCACTGTAATGTACTCCCTCCATCAAGGCTGTATCAGGTAAAGCACCAACACTAAACAGCATCACCAACCACAGAGGAAGTGTTCAAATACCTAAGTCTCCGGGGCACACTTATCATTCAAATCACCACTAATAGCTAATTGAAGCTAATTGATATAAACAATGTAAAATGCTACTGAAAAACAAAGCAGGGTTTCTCTGTGTAATATGGAACTAACTATGTAGCTCAAGATGGCCTTGAACTTACAATACTTCTGAGTCAGCCTCCCGAATTCTAGGATTACAGGCATCTGCTACAATAAATGATGAATAAATTTTGACATACCCTTAAATTTTAAGTACGGAGTTCCTGGAGATATTGATCAGTGATTCAGCACACTCACCACCAGTCCCAACAGCCTGAACTATATTTGACTTCTATACTCATGCAGTGGGTATAAGCATACATGTCCCTGAAACAAACCTGACACTTGCAAACACTAGCAAGTACTACTCTAAGTCTCTGCCCTTATGGAGCTTATACTCCGGTGTGGAGGGATGATAGACAACAACCAACCAACAAGGTAAACGCTACGTGGGACAAGAGAGCGGGGTGACAGCAGGGTTGAGGTTGGGGATATAGGTCCATAAAGTGCCCCCCTAGCGTTTGCAAAGCTCTGGGCCCGACCCCCAGCTTGTCAGAAAAAAATAAAGGTTTTAGAAAGGTTCTGGCGGGCCCCACTGAGAAGGTGACTTTGGCCAAAGGAGGGAAGGAGTTAAAAATGTAGGTCTCTGGGGGAAATGTGTACCAGGCAGAGGACAGAGCCTGCTCAGAGGGAGCAAGTGTGGTGTCTTCTACCAGGCAGATGGAGGAGACTGATGGATGAATGAAAGGGAAGAGGAAGGAGACAATGATCAGGCCTGGCCGTGCTGATCTACGGAACTCTGTTAGAAGGGTATAGATTTTTACTCGGATCAAACTGAGGAATATTAGTGAAGAAATGGGTTGAGGTTCTGTTATTTATTAAGGTACTGAGGATCAAACTTATGGGGCCTTGTGTACGGTAGGCAAATGCCTCACTACAGAGCTGCCCACCGAGAAGCAGCCCTGTTCTCTCTGTGACTGCCTCACTATTTAACTCAGGCTGGACTGAAGCTTCCAGCCTCCTGACTGGTGGAACCATAGGGAGCGTGTCGGGATGTTTGGCTGGTGGTGATGTGTTTCTAGCTATTTCGTTGAGAAGGGGAAAGAACAGAACAGAGAACGGCATGAGGTCACAGTGTGTGGGAGGTATATTGTTCAGTCTGTGACATGTGGAGTTTGAGATGTGGCAGATAAGCACAATGTGGAATTCAGATGAAAGTGTGAGCTGGTGATATAAATTTGACAGTTGTCATCATCTGGTGACATCATACAGCTGCGATGGGACTGAAAGTCAAGAGACTGGATGAGATCATTGAGAAAAAAATATGTATAGATTAAAAAGCAAAGGTGAAATTTAAGGGATGAGCCTGGGTCCACACAGCGCAAGGCTAAATAAACAGTTTGAGAGAAGAGGTGGAACAAGCAAAATGACAGGGAAAGAGGGACAGGGGAAATCAATAGGTTAGAAAACCTAAAACAAACAACAACCCCAAGCAGGTCTCCCAACCCAGTGATTAGCTGTGTCAGCTGTCATAAAAAGCATGTCAAGATGGGACTTAACCATCGGATGTAAGCAAAATGAAGCTCACTGTTAACCTTGCCAAAAGTTGTTTCCGTAAAGTATAGTAAGGAGTGAAGCATGATGGGAGGAGCTGAAGGGAAGCGGAAGACTTGCCACTTCGGCTGACAAAGATAAGGTGCATCTATGACTTCATGTGTGCTGTCTTCTGTGTATTTACGTGTTTGCAGACATTATGTGCATATAGCAATATGTACACATTTGTGAACATATATGTATGTGGCACCAAAGGTCAATCTTGGTGACTTTCCTCAGGAATTGTCCTCTTTGTTGAAGAATAGGTCTCTCAATTGGGACTGGGGATCAATATTAAGCTAGTTTGGCTGATCAGTGAGCCCTAGGGATATATTTGTCTCCCCCTTCCTAATGATGGAATACAAGAAGATATAACCATGGCTGGCTTTTTATGTAGGTGCTGGGTTCTCAGGAGTCTCCCCAGCTTATAGGTGTTCATCTGAACACATGTTACTTCTTTTTGGACTTTTTAGGAACAGTATGATAGTCTATGCATGTTCCTAGCATGGGAGAACTAAGAACAAAGTATTATTATGTAGAACACTTTTGGAGTTTTGCGCAGAGGAAGTAGAGAAAGTAGCTGACAGAACAAATGAGGCCAAGAGAAGGCTTAGCAGGAGTGGAAAAATAATGGCTGTTGATGGGCATCTGGAGTGACCAGCAGAGGCGAAACACTGGTAATACAGAAAACAGGGAATGGTCAGAGTGAAGGTGAAAGGGATTAGGACCCACCTGCCACCTTCAGCGGAGAGCTTGCATCAGCCAGTTCATAGCAGCTTCCTCTGAATTCAAACACTTCCTCTAGGAGGGAGGAGTTGGTTAAATAAAGATCACATGCCTGAGAAAGTAGAAACTTGGAAGATTTTATTTGCTTTTTTAAAAAAACTTAAAATAAAATTACATTATTTAGCCCTTCTCTTTTCTTCTTCCCAGTATTCTCACATGTCCTTTCTTGAATTCATGGCATATATATATGTATATGTACATATACATATATATATTTAAATAAATAACTACAACTTGGTCAGATTTACTTAGTATTTAGTATTCCTTAAGTGTTATGATCTCAGGGCTGACCACTTAGTATTGGATAACCAGTTAAGACACTCATCCCTGGGGAAGACTGTTTCCCTGGTCTCAACATCTATTAGTTCTTTCTTCAGGGGCCCAGTGAGATGTTCCCTTCCATGTGAGCATGTCTACCGGTGTTGCATTTGTTTGGGTCTTGTTTAGGCAGCCATATTATTGAGGTATCACGGGTGAAGCTTCCCTGACATTTCTAGGAGAAACAATCTCACAGCAGACTTCCTGGTCCTCTGGCACTTGCCGTCTTTCTGCCCCATCTTTTCTGATGTTCCCTGAGTCTTAGGTTCAGGAGTTCGGTCATAGATATGTCAAATGGGCCTAGTATTCTAGGATCATTTGTTTTCTGCATTTTGATTGGTTGTGGTTTCTGTAATGGTCTTTGTTACAAAGAGGGTTTTTTTGCTTGTTTTTTTTTTTTTGTTTGTTTGTTTCTGACGAGGGGTGGGAGCTACATTTATTTTTCGGTATAAGAGTAAACATTAGAATGGTAGGTAGGGTTTGGTAAACTGTTGACATGTGGTTCTCCTCTAAGATCCATGAGCTCACTGGCTCTGGGTAATTGGCTGGGTTTCCTGTCTCAAGCATGGTTTCTCTCCTGCTGATCAGGTCTTAGGGACAGTAGACAACTGTAACTTACCTCTAGGGCATGAATGCCACTATTGCACTCTTGGCTTGTGCCATGCTGGTTGGTGTTGCATTTGGTGTTGCGGTTCATAGAAGTCACAGTTGCATAGAAGTATGGGTTGCTTCCCACCCTTGGAAGCTTGCACAGCACCTCCTGGTTCTATGAAAGTTAGACCTCGCAAAGAGGCTTTCAGATCAACCCAGCCTGGATCCTCTGTGTTGGTGCCTGAAGTGTGTGGTAACTTAGGGACTAACCTTCAACCTCTGGGAGGTAATCAAGGGCAACAGCAATGGTCTGTTGCTTTGGGAAGCTCCTAGACCAACAACTTGAGAGGTTTTGTACGCCTGGCATTAAGAGTTTTTCTTAGTTTAAGATTTTTTTTTTTTTTTTTTTTTTTTTTTTTTTTTTTTTTTTGATTTTCGAGATAGGGTTTCTCTGTAGCTTTTTTTGGTTCCTGTCCTGGAACTAGCTCTTCTAGGCCAGGCTGGTCTCGAACTCAGAGATCCACCTGCCTCTGCCTCCCAAGTGATAGGATTACATGCGTGTTCTATGACTCAAACCCAGGGAGCATGTGGTAGGCCTGTGTTCTAATCACTGAGTACAAAAGTCATAAAATTAGAAAAGAAAATAATTACTAAGTTAAAATCAAGAGTGGGTCTTTTGCCACCAAATGACTACCCTTTGTTTTGACTCTTGTACCGTGGTGCTGCGAAGGAAACAGCCTTTGTACATAGACATCAAATCTTGAATTTTCCCTTTAGGTTGTCCTGGATGTTTTAGATATCCAGCCATCCGGCCACCTAGGGAATGGGAGAAAATTCTGACTTTGTTTTGTAAGGTGTTAAGTTTGAAACTGAGCTATACGTCCCAGCTTGTACAACCTACCCAGCAGGTGTACAGTAGGTCTGGAAGGTCGCCTCCAACTCGAAATTCCAACTGCTCACATTTGGCAACACGGGCCAAGGCCCCTGACCGTGATTCCTTGACTGCGCGCCACCAAGTTGAGCTCGATTCCGGGTCGGTGGGAAGAAAGGGACAGACTCCCCCCCCCCCCCCGCCCCCAAAGTGAACTGCTACAAACACCTGCAGTTAGTGCCGTGTCCACCAAGGTCTTCAAAATCCCAACCCGACTCGGCAGCCCTGCCCATAGCACATCCTGAGCTGTCCCGCGCTGCTTGCGTACTCTTTAAACTGTCCCCGCGAAACTGCAACTCGCCGCCACCGCCGCCGCTCTGCTCGGCTCACTCGGCCTGCCGCGAGCAGCCCGCTGCTGCCCGCGGGCGCCTGCGCACTGGGACCCTCCCGGATCTGGGCGGGAGGCGGGGGCAGCCGGGAGAAAGGAGCGCGGCGGGGGGGGGGGGGGGAAAAGGGCCAAACCCTGAAATTACCCGGATGTGGTCCCCGCGCGCGCATGCTCAGTGTCCTTCCGACAAGTTGGCAGCAACAACACGGCCCTGGTCGTCGTCGCCGCTGCGGTAACGGAGCGGCTCGGGTGGCGGAGCCCGTGCGTGCGCCCGCCCGCCCGCCCGTCCGCCTTCCGTCCGTCGGTCCGGCCGTCCTCGGGAGGCCCTTCCCGCGTCGCGCTCGGCTCCGCGGCCGTCCCCCGGGGGGCGGGAACGCGTGACGGGAGCCGGCGGCCCGCGAGGGAGGCCCCCCGCGGCGGGGCGGCTCCGGAGCTCCAGCGGCCCGGCCCGCGCGGTCCGCGGCGCGCGCGGCGGGGGAGAGGGGCCGCCTGGGCCCGGACGCCGCGGGCGGGACCCGGGAAGCGACGGCTCGGCGGTGCGGAGCCCAGGTAAACGCGCGGGTCGTCCCCTGGCCCGGGCCCCAGGGCAGGCTCCCGCGGGCCCGGCGAGGCTCGGGTGGGTCGCCCCCCGCGCGCCCCAGCTCCGCGTGCTCGCCCGTGGGTCCTGGGGCCCCAACTCCACTCGCGGTGAGGCGCGCCGTCCCGGGAAGTCGAGCGCCGTTCGCGCCGCCGCTCTTTGTTGTTCAGGAGGAGTTTGGCCGCGGCCCGGGCCGTGGCGTCGGGCAGCTCGGGAGTGCGTTGTGTCCGGGGTGCCCCGGGTCCGTCCGTCCTCGTGGCCCCCCCACCCCCCCAGCAGCAAGTGTTTGTTTTTTTCTCTTTGTCCCCACTTTCTCTTCCTGGTTGTGTCCTTTCAGTTTACGTTTGTAGCTTTGATTTGTTTACTTTTTGGGTATTGTGGGTGATGGCGGCTTGCGGGAAACATTCTTAGCGCCTAACTGCACCACCTCCCTCCCCTAATAAAACGTGTCTTCTAATAAAAGGCGTAGTTTATTTTATTGTTAGGGCTACATGCACAGAGCGTGAAATTGGAGGGTGGAGGGCGTTGGCTTCAGCACCCCAAACTGCTGTTAAGATTTCTCAAGCCAGATTTTTCAAAGACATGGGCGTGTTTAGTTAACTTGAAAGGTTCCTTTGCGAGGAGGAAGGCTTTAAAAAGCCCTGTTGATTGATAGCTCCTCCCAACTGCCCCCACGAAAGCTGGAGTAAACTTTAAAATTTTTAACGTTGATTTTTTTTCTAGGTAATTCATTTTTAAATTACTTTTTAAAGTGCCATCAGGTTTTGATAATTTAAGGAATTTAAGGTGGGATTGTCACTTCCTTAGAAATAAAGTAGCAAGATAAAAGAAGAGTTATAGAAAACGCCCTGAATTTATGTTCTGCAGGCTTGTAATCTCGGGTAATTTTTTTTTTTTTTAACCATCTTTGACTTCTGCCGGATTTAGCATCCTTTTCCTCAAAGTAGCATCTTGGTTATTTGAACGTTTTAAGAATTAGGGTCAGGATTTTATGCTGAAAGGCAAAACCGTGTGGAATCTTTACTTGAAAATACGGAAATGTATAAATTCCACAAAGTAGTTAGATTTTAAGCACTGCATTTGAATTTTTTTTTTTATAGGTCTCCTGATTGACCTTGTCTTTAGGACCTGAAGTATTTGCAGTTGGGACGTAGCTTAGGATGCTTTAACTTTGCTCTAGTGTTGGGGGCTCTTGTCTCTATTGGAAAGACTTAATAGGATTAGTACATGCTATTTCAAGGTGTAAATGATTGGTATACTAATTTTAAGAATACAATTTCTCCCTAACGCTTCATCCATAATACTGTCATGAGTTTGTATGGCTTCATACTCTTCTCACCATCCTTTCTCGGTCTCTCAAGTGCTGGAATACAGGACTGGGACAGGGTGCCCCCAGGCTCAGGCTTCTGTTTTCTTCGGTGAACTCCGTAGAAACGTGCACAGAGGCAGACTAATACCCACGGCTCCAAGTGGCTTCAGATCTTGATGGGATGAATTTCGTAGGCTTAAATTGCTGGAATTTAAACGAAACCTTTCTGAAGAGAATTAACAACGTTGACTGCAGTAATATGAGTGACTTTGCTTTGCTTTCAAGACGTATTACATGTACTTTTGTTTGTTTGAAAAGTAATTAATAGTTTTGATTAAATGCTTCTGTTGTAAATCTTAAGTTGGGGGGAGAATTAAAATTGTGTTTGCAGAGTTAATTAAAATTTGCGCTAAGCAAGTCAGTGAAAGTAATATGGGATTATGTTATATGTTTTATATGGTCCTGCACTTTCATGTCATGACGGCTTTGCCCTTGAAACAGTTCTGCTAATACTGGGTTAGGATCTTGTTTTTTTCTAAAGTCACTGTTTTGTTTATGCTGTATGTTAGTTTGAAGTATTTCTGTTGGTGAATTTTGTATCTGAATTCCCCTTTGTTTACACCCCCTCCCACAGAGAGAGAGAGAGAGAGAGAGAGAGAGAGAGAGAGAGAGAGAGAGAGAGAGAATTAAGAAGTATTAAACTAATTTATGCAGCCCTGTCACACCCCAGCTCAATTAGAACCTATTTTTCTTCCTGATTGAGCCAGAGTCATAGTAATATTGACATTCACTATCTAATTGAGCTGTTCTTGACTGGGGCCACTACTAGGGCAATTAACTCCATAGAGTTAATTGCATATTTGGGCTTGTTGAAAATTTTGCCTCTTTTGGGGAGAATATACATTCTTTTTCTGGTGTTAAAATATTAACTTATTTCAGTTCTGTTTTGTCCCCATGTAGTTAATGCCAAGGTTTTTGTTTTTCTTTTCATTTCTCATTCTTCCAGAGTGGATAGCTCTTTAAATATCTTGTAATAACTTTTTCAGTGCTTCATTGTATGGTTGTACACCTCCCACCCTCCACTGTGTTTTGTTCAAGCCATGAGGATGAGTGACTCAGGTGAACCCTTAATCATGTATAAAACTAACCTGACTAAATGGCTTGTTTTCTGTGCTAAGTGAAAGTTAAGGGTCTTAGACTAGAATGTCACATTCAGTATAGCTTTCTCAAATTATTTAGATTTTTTGTTTTGTTTTTGTCCATTAGTTAAATAAAGATTCACTTGTTTAAGATGAGACTTCAGATAACTGATAAATATGTATAGATACCATGCATATGAGCTACTTTGGTTATGATGCTGTGGGCATCTTAATATCCTCAGCTTATGCTAATGAGTCATTTAGAATTGTTGGAGTTTTTCCCTTTTATTTTAAATTGTGTAATTTTGGTAATGGAAATTTTGGCTGAATACCAGCTTCTCAGAAACGAGGTATTTTAGATTGTGTCACCTTGACACTGTTGCATGGTGTAATTGGCATCGAGGAAAATTTATTTTTGATATGGAAGTGAATGAGGACTAGGATGGATAAGGACTAGGTGGTACTCACTTCTGTAAAACTGGAATGGTAGGTGATCAGATGCTTGGTTGTAATAATTGATAAAGTCCATAGGTCAAACAGTTACTAGAGATGATTATATTTGAAGCTGATTCTAAATCTCTTTCAATACAATTCATACCTTAAATAGGATTTTCTTTTCCCAGTTTGGAAAACTTACTGCTCTAGGCCTCCGCTGTTGTGGGGGTAGAGCTTAGGCCTCATGAGTGCAGGCAAGTGCCTTGCCTCTGCTCTGTGCCCTCCTAGCTCTTTTCACTGCCTTTTTAATCTCAAGGGTTGGGACAGTGATTTTCAGTCTTACTTGAACATTGAGATTTCTTGGAGAGCTTTACGAAACATTGATGCCTGATTAATAACTACAAAAGTTTTGATTGGTTTGTGCTGGACTGTGTAGCCAGCTCAGGAAAATGCAGTAGTTGAACCTTAGGGTCCTTTTAACCTGTTTCATTGTTGATTTTAACTCCCCCTCTCATTTTTGTTTGTTTTGGGGATAGGGTCTCACTACATGGCTGACCTTGAACTTTGGTTGACTCCCCCCCCCCCTCAGCTTACTGAGCAGTGTGATTACAGGCCTGTGATCCCATACTCAGTTCTGCTTTATGTTCTTTGTAGTGCAGCGATACATTCATGCAGAAGGTCCATTGCACATTTAATTTAATGGGTCTTTTGAAGGTATTGCCATGTTTGTTTTGCTCTTAAATCTCTGCCTTCCTCTTCTTCCCAACCCCCTTCTTTCTGTCCCCCCCCCCCCGTTTTTTTTCAGTTTATTTGTATTTAATGACAAGTTTTAGGAAGCTACATTTCTTATGATCATTAAATTGGTCTCTAAATTAGCATCTAAACACCCAATGAAATTTTATTTCTTTTTTAAATATTTATTTTTATTAATTATAAAATATATTTCTATGTATGGGTGTTTTACCTACTTCTATGCCAGCAGCACCACTTGCATACCTGGTGTCTGTGGAGGCCAAGAAGAGGGCACTAGATCTTCCGAAATTGGAGTTACAGATGGTGGTGAGCCACTATATGGGTGCTGGGAATTTAATCTAGGTCCTCTGGAAGAACAACCAGTGCTTTTAGTTGCTGAGCCACATCTCCAGCCCCCTTAATAATTTTTAACTAGAAATATGTGTGTGCCTCTCTGTAGGTAACTAAGACCACGTGCCCAGAGTGGGTGCTGAGAACTGAACCCCATATCTCTAGAAAAAACAGTACGTTCTCTTAACCGGGTAACCATTTCTTCAGCCCTGGAATTTAGTCATCTTCAGGGGTTAGTGTGCTTGGAATCGATACAGTATTCTAACCATGACTTCTCTGGGCCTAAAGAGGAAAGTTGCATTGATTAAACCTGTACAGTTGGGGGTTTAATTTTTGCATTGTGAGAAAGTTGCTCAACTAGCCCAACTAGTTGGCAGTTTTATAGAGAGATCATTTGGGCACACATGTTCTCTTTTTCCTATTTTTCCCTGTGCTGGTGATTGAATTTAGGGCCTCACGTTTGGTTAATTAGACCAGTGCTGTGCCACCGAGCTCCTCCACAGCCCCTCTACTTATGTACTCCTCATGAAATCGTTCTAGAGCTGGGCTATAGAGTTAGCTGCATCTCTTGTCTTTGGAAGAACTGTTTATAAAAATAAAACTGTTTTGTTCTCTAACTGTAGCGCGTGCATGCGCACATGCACACACACACACATTCAATTCAGAATGGGAATAGGATGAAGGAGGCATGGGAGTAACTATAGGGAAAAAAGCCCTGTTTTGGTTATTTATACTGCCTATTATTTCTGTATTTGTTTATACCTTTTGACCATCAGTACTTTGGAGTGTTTTATTTAGAACCTATCAAATCCTAATTTACATGTTTTGAATGGAGTTCTTATGATTAAACAGAAAGGATTACTGATAAGTAATTGCTCTTCTAATATGATTTCTATATATGGATGAATCTATATAGTTTGGGCTTTCTCAGATTAAATGTATGTATATACATGTGCTTGTGCTTGCATATTTGTGTGCATGTGTGTGTTTTCAGACAAGGTCTTGCCACGTAGCCTTCAATTTCAGGACATCTTCCCCCAGCCTCGTAGATTACACATTTGTGCCCCACACCTGGCTTCAAAATATATTCATAAATTTGGAACTGAATTAAGGGTATTTATTAGTGGTAATTGGCTGACTAGTTAACTCTAGAGAAGGCAATATGGTGGACAGTCATTGTATCAGTTGAATCATTTGGGGGAAAGATTGACAAAGTGTAATGAGCTGAGAGAAGCTAGGAATTGTTAGGACACTAAATGCATCTAATGTTAGAGACCCTGTTGAGATCAGTGGAAGACTGGCTTGGTGGCAGTCTTTAATCTCAACATTTGAGAGGCAGAGGCAGGAGGATAGCTCTGAATTTCAGGCCAGCCAAGGCTGCATAGTGAAATCCTTTTTCAAACAAACAAACAAACAAACAAACAAACAGAAAAAACCCCAAAAACAATAAACCTAGTTGAAAGAATAATTTTATGGATGTAGGTATTGAAATGATGCTAATAATTATATTTAAAAACCCACTTTGTTATTAGACTTTTGAATTAGGTGTATTCATGGTGCTTTAATTCAGTTTCTGTATTTTTGGTAATCTGTAAATTAGACCAGTGCTTTGTGGCATTGAGAGCATTTCAGACTTGTGCTTTTAAAGGTTAGCCTTCGCATACTGGAGCTACTTTGAGCTTCCGTGGAATTCCAATACAATACTCTTCCAGTGGCCAGGTATTAAAATTCAACTTCCTTTCTAACCTTTTGAAACAGTGGTTCCCAAAATGTGCTCTCTGGACTTCTGGGAAGTCCCACAGTCCTTTTATTAAAGAGGTCATGAGCTCAAAATAATTTTCATAATAGGGGGAGACATTATTTGTTCTTCCCTATGTCCAGTTGTGCTGTGGTGCAGACTGGTGGCTCCTTGGCATGTATTAATTAAGACAGTGTCTTTGTGCTTTTCACATCCAGATATATGTTCAGCATTTGAAAGAAAACTCCAGTTTCACTTAAGAATGCCCTTTGTGAGGGTTTAAGTAAACAGTTTTTTGTTTGTTTTGTCTTGTTTCTTCAGTTTTTTCAAGACAGGGTTTCTCTGAAGCTTTGGAGCCTGTCCTGGGACAAGCTCTGTAGACCAGGCTGGCCTCAAACTCAAAGAAATCAACCTGCCTCTGCCATCCGAGTGCTGGGATTAAAGGCGTGTGCCACCACTGCCCGGCCAGTGTTAGCTTTTAAATAGTCTTTATTTTGTGTGATTAAATGCGAAGTGTGAAGCATTTTTGCATGTTCAAGTGAACTGCTCGTGTCTAGGAAGACCACTTCGTGACTGAGCTGCTTTTGAAATGTGGTATCATTTTTATTTTCACTTCGCAGAATGCCTATAGCTACACTCCTGTCATTTAGACCCAGGTATTTGGTGAAAATGAGTGAAATGAACCCGGCACTTAAAGGAAAGTAACTTATTTGTCAGTGATAAAAAGTCGAATCTTTCACATGAAAGTTAAGGTTTTGGAAAACCAGAGTCAGTCGGCGTGAATTTGCTAGTTTCCCAGTACGTGTTTCTGGTGTGATTGTTGGTGATTTTCAAGGAATGAATGTGTTTTTTAAAAATACATGTGTTCTACCTGAACATGGTGTTATGCCTGTAATCTTAGCATGTGGGAGACGGAGGCAAGAAAATAACTGCTTCAGCATTTGGAAAATATGAAAAACTCACCAAACATGTTTTTTTTTTTTTTCGAGACAGGGTCTGTGGCTTTGGAGACTGTCCTGGAACTAGCTCTGTTGACCAGGTTGGCCTCGAACTCACAGAGATCCGCCTGCCTCTGCCTCCCGAGTGCTAGGATTAAAGGCGTGCACCATCATCACCCGGCTAAATGATCAATTCTTAATGTTATAAAAATTTTCCAGAGAAAGATGTAGATAGATTTGGCTTTGTGTGCACGCGTGCGCGCTCACGTACAGGTGCTGCTGTGTATTGTATGCTCGTGTGTGTGTGTGTATTCAGGTGCTCTTTTGTATATATGCGTGTGTGTGTGTGTGTGTGTGTGTGTGTGTGTGTGTGTGCACGTGCAGGTCCTCTTGTGTATTGTATGTAGGTAGGCTCATGGGGAAGTAGATGATTGTCTTGGCTGCTGCTTATTAAGAGTGGTCCACTTTATTTTTTGTTTTCTTGAGTTTGTTTTGTTTTTGTATCAGCTCCAGAGATCTGTTTTTACTTCCCGACATTGAGATTAGAAGGATAGCTACCATGCCCAGCTTTTTTGTTGTTGGTTTTTTTTTTTTTTTTTTTTTTTTTGTATGGGTTTGGGGCTCAAACTCATATCCTCATGCTTGTTAGTGACTGAACTACCTTCCTAGCCCCAACCCAGTGGATTTTTATGCAACAAATCTAGAATTTAGATTCTACTTAGTAACCTACACTAATCTCCATTTGTTGTGTTTTGGCATTGAATAAAAGATGAATACCCATTATTATCTGAGAAGACTATTAAAATATTCTTTCCAATTGTACAGATTTCTGTGTCACATTTCCTTCCTGTACTTTCAAATCTCCAGCAGATTGAATGCTAAAGAAAGTAGGAGAGTCCAGCTGTCTTGTGTTAATCCAGACGGTAAAGAAACTTGCACAGATGTAGAATAGTGTCACTCTTACTACTAACTTTTGTGTTGTTTCTAGAAAAGGTTATTTTTTATAAAACTTATTTAGGTTAGGCCTGTTGAAAGTGAATTAAAATTTACTTAAAGTTTTACTTGTAATATGATAAATATTGATATAACCAATATTTAAAAATTAGTTTCAGAAAATAGTCAAATATATAAATAAAGGGAGTCAGAAAACAGTTTGACAGGTACAGTTTTAAAGTAGCTAGTTCTGTATTTTTACTAGATTACCA